TTTCCGAGGCATAAATTTGAAAAACATTACCAACATTTTTCAAAATACAGAATATATGCCAAAAAGATATAATTTAAAGATATTCTACTATGTACCACGGTTTCAAAAACATATTCCTTTGGTTAGATGAATAACTTAGATTTTCCTGTAATTTTTAAAGTAGGGGCCAGCCTATGGTTGGAACAGATTTAGGTTTAGATGGCGCTTCACAAAAGAGGTTGTGAAGAGACCAGAACTGAACATAACATGATAGATACAATATATTATACAAAAAATTTAAAATATTTAAAAATAATTGAAAAAAATGTAATAAAATAATTTCTTTGAAAAAAGTCGAAACTATCGAATATCACTTTTGAAACCATCGAATATCACTTTTGAAACCATCGAATGTCACTTTTTAAGAAGTGATAATCGATAGTTTAAAAGTGATATTTGATGGTTTGAGAATTTTTTGCAAAAATATGATATCTTGATCCACATATCAAATATATCTTCATGTGATGTTCGATCTATATCCTTGCAACCTTGGGATAAATTTTATTTTTGCAGGTCCTCAAATTTTATTATTGCAGGTCCTTGACTTCAACTCTGATGGATTTATAAGCTTTGAAGAGTACTTGATCTTCTGGAAGGCCTTGGAGTTTGATCCAAGTCTAGCAAGATTGCAATTCGATTTCATGGATACAAACCACGATGGGAAAATCTCAGAAAAGGAGTTTGTTGATGCCTTTGATGATTTTATGTTCAATACTGATGTTAGTGATAATGGAAATAGATTCTATGGACCATTAATTGACTTTTAATTAAACTTACAAACTCTAGCTTTCCGTACACTATCAGAAAGGACGTAATGAATGAAATTTCAAATAAAACTTTATTTTGAAGACAGATTAATTTAAGGTATTACATTATCTGATGACTGTATCAAATCAAACTTCTGTATCAAAACTGAAGTGACAGATATGCAAATAATGTACTGCACTTTTTTTTATTTAGGAATAAAGTAGAAAACAGCAACTCCAAGGAGTAGCAAATCCCACCTAACAAAACATATTTTGTTAATAGTGGCAATTTCTTCTTGAACAGAACTCCTTTGTCACTAGGTACCAGCATATAACATTTGAACCAAATCCATCCACTGGTATTTGAGTAATCGAAGGTTACTTTTTCACAAAAAATGGTGGCCATTTTGTAATTCAGCTGTGTTCTCAAAAAATTCTTCTCAAACAGAGCTCCTTTGTCCTTAAGCATCATCATATAAAATATGAACCAAATCTGTCCACTGGTATTTGAGTTTTAGAATATGGTGGCCATTTTAAAATTCAGTACAATCTTTGAAAATGTCTTCTTGAGCAAAGCTTCTTTGTCTCTTGGCATCAGCATATAAAATTTGAACTAAATCCATCAACTGGTATTTAAGCTATCAAAGATTATGTTTTTTTAAGAAAAATGGCCGCCATTTTGGAATTTGGAAGCCATTTTGAAAATCTCTTCTTCAGCATTTTCACTTATAGTCCTTGACTTTAGGTGACACAGGAATTCATTAAAAAAGCATACAGTAGAACCTGTATATCTGAACACCTGGCTAATCCAAACACCTCCCAATCTGAACACTTTTTTTCGGTCCCATTTTTTCCTCCCATTGACTCCCATTTTAAAAAAACCTTGAAATGTGAACACCTCCCAATTTGAACAGTGAACAGTCATATTTGAAACATTCACCTGTCTAATCTGAACACTTTCATAAAATTTCTGATGTTTTATACAAAATTGCTCAAATTTTGTCATGATATCAAAACTTTGGGAAATAATCTTGAATGATATCATTCAAAAACCTCGAAATGTGAACACCTCCTTATCTGAACGCTTTTATCCAGTCCCAATGGCGTTCGGATTAGACAGGTTTTACTATAGTTAGAAGTCAGGAACTCCACAAAATACCAAACGAACGTTATATTCATGAATCTGTATAAATGTATGCCACAATGTAATATTTACCATCTTCTGTACCCTTGATTTAATTGGCAGATAATAAAAATCATTCATTAGAGATATATCAGAATGTCCAATTTAAGCACTTGGGGCAAAGAGGAGTTTCAAACTAATAGCAGATTTTGGGAGTCAGGCTGAAAAAAATGAGAATATGTGAAACAGATAGATGTGTGAATATACTTCAGTAATTTCAAACGATAATATTTATTAATTTGGTTTGGTTTAGCCAAATATTCCCACCATTTTTAAAGCAGTGGCTATCTTTAAATTTTTTTTCCATAAAACGATTCACCAATATACATCTTTCCACTAATTATTAAGTAAATCTGTCTACTAGTATTCAAGTTATCTCCAGGACAGACGGACTGACAGACTGATTGGTAGACAGATGGACTAATGGATGGACGGAGGGCTTCACTATATCCCTACCAAACTTCGTTTGTTGGAATAACAATATAAAACATACCCTGATAATCAAATTGATACATTGAAATAAAGTCACATGAAAAAAACTACATATCATTCTTCATAAAAACATTTTTTAATATAAATTCCCAGTTGGTAGAAACTATTTAACATAAAAACACTTCATTTTGACAATACCCATGACAAGTAATTAGGCAACTAATTTATGTTAAAGAACTTAATCTAATTAAAAATCATTTTTATGGCAGTTTATGGCAATATTACTATAGACAATATATATTTTAATATTACAGTTCCTTGACTTCAACTCTGATGGATTTATAAGCTTTGAAGAGAATACAAAGGGGGTCCAAAAAAAACAGGACCGTAAGAAAGTTGAATAACTCGGTCAATTTTGCATATTTTGCCTTGAAATTTCAGAATTATTTAGTTCATTCAATGTGAATTTTGATGTGAAAGTTTGATAATAATCTATCATTTGAGTCAAAAACTACAGCTCCTTACAAAACATGCCCCAAATGTGCAAATCTCATCTCTATGCACAATTCAATCCGGCGAACAAAGTTGTTGATGATCCTCCTACACACATGCCTTTCTGAATAGACAAGTTTGTTCCAAGGACAATTGCTACTGGGGCTTACATCCTTCTGATGAAGTGTTACAGCATCCATTGCATTCTGAACAATGCACTGCCTGGGTGGCAATGAGGAAACATGGAATCATCAGTCCCTTTTGGTTCGAAGGTGACTGGGGACTTGCTATCACCATGAACAAGGACCAGTAAGTTCTCACCAAGTTTTGGAAGTCACTAAGCACCAGAAGGGACATCTAAGGAGATAATTAAGCAGTGGTTTCAACAAGCCAATACCACCCCAACACTGCAAATGATATGCTGAAATGGTTTAGGCAATGCTTTGGTGGTCACCTCATCAGTTGCAGAACGCAAACCATATGTGCAGCTCATTCGCCTGATCTAAATCCCCCAAATTATTATCTTTGAGAATTTCTCGAAGCAAATGTGTATACTGACAGGCCCCTAACAATCTTAAGAGGGCAATAACTTCCCCAATATTTACCATCCACATTAATGTGTATATTTGTGCATAGAGAGGAGAAGTGCCCACTTTGAGCATGTTTTGGAAAGGACTGTAGTTTTTGACACAATGAACAGATTATCATCAAACTTTCAGAACAAAATTCACATTGAATGAACTAAATAATTCTAAAATTTCAAGGCAAAATATGCAAAATTGATCGAGTTATTCAACTTTTTTACGGTCCTGTTTTTTTTTGGACACCCTACTTGATCTTCTGGAAGGCCTTGAAGCTGGATCCAAGTCAAGCAAGATTGCAGTTTGATTACATGGATACAAACCATGATGGAAAAATCTCAGAAAAAGAGTTGGTTAATGCCTTTGATGATTTTGCCCTTAATACTGATGTTAGTGATAATGGAAATAGATTCTATGGACCATTAATTGACTTTTAAACTCAGACACTTAAAAAATCAAATCAATACCTATCGTATTCAGTGTGTAGGGTGACACACCCCATTCTCTTATTTGTCGCAGCACCGGAAGTTTACAACGTTATACCAGTAATTTCAGCAGGAGATTTGTAATATACTCATTTATTTTGAAGTTTTGACAGAATTTGGTTCTTTCCTTCTTGTAGAAACGTACCATGCAGATATACCCCTTGTATCACCATGTCTAAACATTTTGTCTGAACACGGTGTATAACTTCTCAAACCTTCTAGAAAGCACAATTTTTTGAAAAAATGATCATTTTTCACAAAAAATCATCATATTTTATATAATTCCAACCCTATGATCTTGGAAATTAATTAGATTAACAATACAATTTGTATACATCATCCATACACTTCAGTTTCCCAAATCAATGAAAGAATTCAGAGAGATTAATTTTTTTGAAAGTAACTACATAAAGGAAGTATACAACATCCCCTTGTACATTTAATTCCCTGAACGTCGCACACTTCCTTTATGTAATATTCTTTCAAGGAAAAATTAATTTCTCAGAATTCTTTCATTGATTTGGGAAACTGAAGTGTCTGGATGATATGTAAAAATTGTATTGTTAATCTAATCAATATTTCCAGAAACTATGAAGATTTTCGTGAAAAATTATCATGTTTTCAAGAATTGTCGTGCTTTCTAGAAGGTTTGAGAAGCTCTAGACCGTGTTCAGACGAAATGTCGAGACGTAGTGATACTAGAGGTATATCTGCATGGCATGGGCAATGTTTATACAAAAGGGAAAGGACCATATTCTGTCAAAAAGTCGAAATAAATGAGTACTTACAAATCTCCAGCTGAAAATACTGGGTATAATGTCGTAAACTTCAGGTGCTACAAAAGAGAATGGGGTGTGGGGGAAGAAAGTACATATACACTTGTAGTGGAGGGGGGGAAGTAATTAAGTACACGTGTACTTATTGCATTCTATGTGGAGGGGGAAGAAAGTACACATGTACTAATGTATTCAAGCGAAGGAAAAGAAAGTGCATATGTACTAATGTATTCAAGTGAAGGAAAAGAAAGTGCATATGTACTTACTGTATTCTGCACTTCAGTGATGGAAGGAGAGGATGGCTTGTACTCATTAGACCGCTGAGACATATTTGAGGGAGGTCTGACCACAGCTATTAACTCTCCAAAGTTTAGATGGTCACCCGCATCAAGTTGAACTGAAAGTGAAATAGCAAGACAAAGAGTGATCAATATTGTATGTATAAAGTACATATATGAGGTTTATGTTATGGGAGGTTTTGGATATGGGATATATCCTGAGGGAAATATTGATATCTTAACAAGTTTAGATGGTCACCTGCATCAAGTTGAACTAAAAGTGAAATAGCAAGACAAAGAGTGGTCAATATTGTATGTATAAAGTACATATATGAGGGTTATGTTATGGGAGGTTTTGGATATTGAGTATATCCCGAGGGAAATATTGATATCTTAACAAGTTTAGATGGTCACCTGCATCAAGTTGAACTGAAAGTGAAATAGCAAGACAACGAGTGATCAATATTGTATGTATAAAGTACATATATGAGGTTTATGTTATGGGAGATTTTGGATATTGAGTATATCCTGAGGGAAATATTGATATCTTAACAAGTTTAGATGGTCACCTGCATCAAGTTGAACTGAAAGTGAAATAGCAAGACAAAGAGTGATCAATATTGCACCATTTTTAGTGTGTGTATAAAGTACATACTATATCTAGTATATGAGGGTTACATATATATGGGAGGTTTTGAATATGGGGTATATCCTCAGGGAAATATAGATAAGGGTCTGGAGGGTCTGAGGTAGATTTATTATTTCCCTAGGGATACACCCCATATCCAAAACTGAGCATTACATTATGACAAGTGATTTTTAGTGATTAAGTTTTCAGGACACCAATATCCAAGTTTGTTTTCTTCAAAGTGTTCTCATTCTCATTATTTTTGAAAAATCCATCAACATTTTTGTCTAGAAAATTCTGGATAACCGTAAATTGTCCAGGAAATACCTTCTTGATAACTCAGGAAAATCCATCTAAATTACCTTAAATTGACCAGGAAAAAACCCTTTTGCTAACCCAAAATTGTCCAAGAAATATCCCTCTGGATAACCCTCTGTATTTTCCAGATAATACCCTCTAATAATCCATCTTTGCCAGATAAAGATCAAATTTGGTACAATATATCCAGGAAAAGATCAATTTCGGTACAAAAGTATATTTAGATATGCATGAAAGCCTGTGAACAGACAAAATCAAAAACGCCTTACACTCCTCCAGATCACTAGGTTCTTTAACATAGATGGAGCTCTGCGGTGAAGTGCTGCCCTCTAGCGAACGTGGTGATGGAAGGTCTGTTCGTCTATGCCGTTTAAGCATTAGTTTTTCAGCATAGCTAGTGGTAGAATGGAATGTCACATCAATCCCCTGTGAGTTTTGACTATCTTGTGTACTCGTACCCTCATCGAACTGTACAGCTAAAAGAACAGAATAGTATGGTGAATATGACAAAAAGGACCAAAATATTTTATTGCATGAAGCACAAGGGACAAACAATGATAAGATGAAAATAAGGAATTTCCGCATTTCTGCTTCTTAAATCTTCAATAACTTAGATGTTTTATTATATAACAGACTAAATAAAACCAAATACAATGCTAACAACTAATTTGGAGTTCTTGAGGCGGTTACGTTTAGTTAGCTCTTAAACATTACTTTACAAATATATCCAAGAAATTTCTTTAATATGCTATCATAAAAGGTCTACCTTGGTGTTTAAAACAGGAAAAACAACCATTGCCCTTTGTTGCAATTTCTATTTCATTCCTTCATAATTTAATTTTCATTTGGCTTTAAAAAATACAGCCAAAATTGTAACTCACTTGGTGTTTTAACAGGAGAAACTCCCCGGGCTGTATTGTTAGTGTTCTTAGTGACAACAGACCCAGTTGTTTTCCCATCATCAGCATCCTCTCCCTTTCTCCATTGTTTCACTGCATCTTTGAAAGATGATGCGGCTGCAGCTTCATCGTATGTTCCATCTAGCAGAGAGGGTCCATCAAACGGCTTCATGCTAGTGGATTCTAGAATGCAAAATCAAATGCATGTCATGTTAACTGATCCAATTTTATTTGATTGATACTAAATGTATACCAATTCTTCTGGAAGGGGATGGGGTTGTTTTCTTGAAAGCTCACTGTATGTGGGTAAAGGGTCTCTCATGTAGTATTGCTTTTCCATCTAGCAGAGAGGGTCCATCAAATGGCTTCACGCTAGTGGATTCTAGAATGCAAAATCAAATGCATGTCATGTTAACAGATCCAATTTTGTCTGATTGATACCAAATGTATACCAATTCTTCTGAAAGGGGATGGGGTTGTTTTCTTGAAAGTTCACTGTACGTGGGTAAAGGGTCTCTCATGTAGTATTGCTTTCCATCTAGCAGAGAGGGTCCATCAAATGGCTTCACGCTAGTGGATTCTAGAATGCAAAATCAAATACATGTCATGTTAACTGATCCAATTTTATTTGATTGATACCAAATGTATACCATTTCGTCTGGAAGGGAATGGGGTTGTTTTCTTGAAAGCTCATTGTATGTGGGTAAAGGGTCTCTCATGTAGTATTGCTTTTCCATCTAGCAGAGAGGGTCCATCAAATGGCTTCACGCTAGTGGATTCTAGAATGCAAAATCAAATACATGTCATGTTAACTGATCCAATTTTATTTGATTGATACCAAATGTATACCATTTCGTCTGGAAGGGGATGGGGTTGTTTTCTCACTGTAATTGGGTAAAGGCTCTCTCATGTAGGGGTTGTCGTGGGACTTGAGGCTGTGAAGATGTTTGTCGATTTGAGACGCATTTGTTTGACTTGCCTCTTAAAAGAGAGCTTCATCTTCAGTAGTTTGTAACGAGACCCTGTGCACCAGTTTACATAAAGACAATACTGCTTTATACTCGGTCAAAATATCTCAATAATCTATCCTTTACCTATTAGAACGGTTTCCCACAATATTTTTGGGCCAAAGTATCTAAAATCTCTAACACATTCACCATATTTATGTGAAGCAGTTCAATTAAAATGAGATGTGGTTGCAGATATATTTCAGCTATAACCCGATGTTTGAAACCTCTCTACTAAACAGGATGGCACTTTAATTTATAATTAATTTATAATTCGAGCACTGTTAATGTTTCTAACCTGGCTGTTTTTCTTGTTCTTGTTGATTGACAGGTTGCTTGCCTGCCCTCCAATCAGCAAGTGCAGCCTGAAACTCCATTTGAGCAGCCTGTTCATCATATACTCCTCCCCCTAACAAGGCTCCACCCCCAGACATAGCCCCGCCCATAGCACCATCTTCAGAAGTAGCTCCGCCTCCTAACTGACTGTCATATGATTGACTGGCACCTATGGGGCTGTCTCTATTTCTACCATGCTAGAATAATAAATGTCCCATTCATACAATCAATGTCCAATTGACACAATAAATATCCCATTCAAATAATAAATGTCCCAGTCACACAATAAATTTCCCATTCAGACAACAAATGTCTAATTTACACAATTAATGTCCCATTAATACAATAAATGTCTCAATCATAAAATAAATGTCCCATTCATGCAATAAATGTCCCATTCATACAATCAATGTCCAATTGACACAATAAATATCCCATTCAAATAATAAATGTCCCAGTCACACAATAAATTTCCCATTCAGACAACAAATGTCTAATTTACACAATTAATGTCCCATTAATACAATAAATGTCTCAATCATAAAATAAATGTCCCATTCATGCAATAAATGTCCCATTCACACGATTAAATGTCCCATCCATACGATAAATGTCCCATTCACACACAAAATGTCCTATTTACACAATGAAGGTCCCATTCACTATTCATACAATAAATGTCCCATTCATACAATAAATGTCCCATTCATACAATAAATGTCCCATTCACACAACAATTCTTATTTACACAATGAAAGACCCATGCATACCATAAATGTCTCATTCATAAAATAAATGTCCCATTTAGGTCTTGCATTCATTTCAAAGCTCATGACATTATAAACAGATAAATTCTTGGAAGCCATGTGGTATACTTAGCAACCTTTTAGTTTCTCACCTGGTTGTTCATATATGGTTGCAGATCAACCGACTCATTAACATTAGATGGGGTTGCCAACCGAGGCATAGGGAGCGTGGATTGAATCTTTGGGGTAACTCTCAAAGGCATAGACCTGTAATACAAATGTTTTTATTTAGATTAGACTCCATTTTTGGGGTTCCTCTCTCAAGGCATAGAAATATCATGTCAAAAAATTCCAAGATTGATAAAAATGTGAACAGTATCAGAAAAAATGAATAAATATGACATGTAATGTAACAGTGGTGTTGATAACAAGGGTGATATTGTCAACTATTGATTTATTGGATAAGTCTATTGTAACAGACGTGCGAAAAACAACATTCATAAAATAATATATAATACCAATATTATATGGTGGAAAAGTTGAATCAAGCGTAATGAATAATCATTCTGATAACAAATCTGTTAAACTAGAAACATTGCATGGCTCAAAAGAAATGAAATGGTATCATAATGGTGTATTGTGATCCCCAGCATTAAAGCAAGTGGATGCAGCACCATACTGAGATTTTAAAACAGGCTTGCACCCACCTGAAAATCCATTTGCCCCTACTTGATAATGAGAAAATCATGAAAAATTGGGATATTTCGACCAATTTTGATCTAGTGAATTTTCAGAATTTTGCACCCACTTGAGAAAAAAAATACTGTGAGGAACTGTGTATAATAATAAAATATTAATTAAAGAATCTAACCTGTGTTTCCTTAGGGCTCCTTTGAGGTGAAATGATGCAAAGCACATGGCACAATAATCTTCTCCACATTCCACACAGCTGACAGCTGCACCCCTCTGTTCACATTGGCCACACTTGGGCCCTTTAGGTTTATTGTCTTTGCTCGGGACACTCTGTTGTGCAATGTGCCCCATAGTGCCAGGCTGTTTACTGCGTTCAGGTTTTACTGAAAACACAATAAGGCTGTATTCGGTGATTTAATGGTAAATGTTTACTGTTTTTACCATGGCACTCTGTTGAGCAATGTGTCCCATAGTGCCAGGCTGTTTACTGTGTTCAGGTTTTACTGAAAACACAATAAGGCTGTATTCGGTGATTTAATGGTAAATGTTTACTGTTTTTACCATGGCACTCTGTTGAGCAATGTGCCCCATAGTGCCAGGCTGTTTACTGTGTTCAGTTTTACTAAAAACACAATAGGGTTGTATTCAGTGATTTAATGGTAAATGTTTACTGTTTTTACCCTGGCACCCTGTTGAGCAATGTGCCCCATAGTGCCAGGCTGTTTACTGCGTTCAGGTTTTACTGAAAACACAATAAGACTGTATTCAGTGATTTAATGGTAAATGTTTACTGTTTTTACCCTTTCACTCTGTTGTGCTATGTGCCCCAGAGTGCCAGGCTGTTTACTGTGTTCAGGTTTTACTGAAAACACAATAAGACTGTATTCAGTGATTTAATGGTAAATGTTTACTGTTTTTACCCTGGCACCCTGTTGAGCAATGTGCCCCATAGTGCCAGGCTGTTTACTGCGTTCAGGTTTTACTGAAAACACAATAAGACTGTATTCAGTGATTTAATGGTAAATGTTTACTGTTTTTACCATGGCACTCTGTTGAGCAATGTGCCCCATAGTACCAGGCTGTTTACTGTGTTCAGGTTTTACTGAAGACACAATAAGACTGTATTCAGTGATTTAATGGTAAATGTTTACTGTTTTTACCCTGGCACTCTGTTGTGCAATATGCCCCATAGTGCCAGGCTGTTTACTGTGTTCAGGTTTTACTGAAAACACAATAAGGCTGTATTCAGTGATTTAATGGTAAATGTTTACTGTTTTTACCCTGGCACTCTGTTGTGCAATATGCCCCATAGTGCCAGGCTGTTTACTGTGTTCAGGTTTTACTGAAAACACAATAAGGCTGTATTCAGTGATTTAATGGTAAATGTTTACTGTTTTTACCCTGGCACTCTGTTGAGCAATATGCCCCATAGTGCCAGGCTGTTTACTGTGTTCAGGTTTTACTGAAGACACAATAAGACTGTATTCAGTGATTTAATGGTAAATGTTTACTGTTTTTACCCAATGTGCCCCATAGTGCCAGGCTGTTTACTGTGTTCAGGTTTTACTGAAAACACAATATGGCTGTATTCAGTGATTTAATGGTAAATGTTTACTGTTTTTACTGAATGTGCCCCAAAGTGCCAGGCTGTTTACTGTGTTCAGGTTTTACTGAAAACACAATATGGCTGTATTCAGTGATTTAATGGTAAATGTTTATTGTTTTTACCCTGGCACTCTGTTGAGCAATGTGCCCCATAGTGCCAGACTGTTTACTGCGTTCAGGTTTTACTGAAAACACAATAAGACTGTATTCAGTGATTTAATGGTAAATGTTTACTGTTTTTACCCAATGTGCCCCATAGTGCCAGGCTGTTTACTGTGTTCAGGTTTTACTGAAAACACAATAAGGCTGTATTCAGTGATTTAATGGTAAATGTTTACTGTTTTTACCCAATGTGCCCCATAGTGCCAGGCTGTTTACTGTGTTCAGGTTTTACTGAAAACACAATAAGGCTGTATTCAGTGATTTAATGGTAAATGTTTACTGTTTTTACCCAATGTGCCCCATAGTGCCAGGCTGTTTACTGCGTTCAGGTTTTACTGAAAACACGAGTTCTTATATGACTGTGTATCAAAACTACAGTAATTTAATGATATAGCCTATCTCCCTTGCATTTGAGCAACTGGATGATAAACCCTGTTAACATTTTGAAAATAACAACCTGTTGAGAATCTGGTTAACAGAGAGTGTGTTTTAGGTTAATTACCAAGGGCGGTTACTTGGTAGTTAGTTATATACAAATGTAGTTTGATGCTATATTCAACTTTTTAAATATTTATGACTTTCACATGATTATATGAAAACGACATGATAACTGAAATATTGAAAATCAATTTTTTAAAGCAAATTTCAAATAAGACACAAGCTGCTGAAAACACCGTACTGAGGAATGCATAAAAGAGAATACAGTAAAACCAAGGGAATAACACGGGAATAACACGGGAATATACACTGTATTAAAAACCTCCCATTAAATAACCTCTATATCTTAACCTTACCAATAGGTTCATCTTTGAGGACCTTAATCTTGCGTGTTTTCTTGTCACGTGGTTTGTCTGGTGAGCGTACAACTTTTGCGTTGAGTACATCCTTAGCATGCGAGGAAAGAGCGCCCTCTTTTCCAGATTTCCAGAACCCACCACCTTCCCGTCTAAAAAAATAAAAATCAGTTAAGTGTCTTTTTATCCAATGAAATTATATTCAAACATTTTAGAGAATATATTGCCTAATAGGCATGACAACATATTAAGTCAAAGCAATACTGTAACTATTAATAACCTCACTCACAATACAAGAACCTGACTGGTCAAGGGGCAGTCAACAGTTTTGACAGTTGACTCTGACATGCTTTTCCAATGTCATGATAATGAAACAGGGGGAAAATTACAAAAATGAATTAATAAACATGGTTTGAGTTCAACACAGCAAGTTTTAACTTTATCATAAGAACCATTTTAACAGAACTTCATATCAAAAGATTTTGAGGTGTTACACCGGCACAAAATCCTTCTTAGTGAAGCTTTTTGTCAAAATTCTTAGTACAAATCAATAGACTAATACGCGATAGACGAAAACATGGTCATTCACATAAATATCTCCCGCAATGCATCACTTCAAGTGGGACAAATTTCCATTGGTCCGTTGATTAAACCAAATTCTCCCAACCTTAAAACCATGTTTTTGCGTATTGTCGGGACGATAAAGGGCACACTAATTTCAAGTTACAACCTTCACAATTGATGTAAGTCAAACATATATAAACATGACATCAAACCCACGTTATATGCACGAGAACTTGCTTCTTTTTCATATCGAGTCATCGAGTCTCAGCTTCCGGGATCTAAGTTGGTGACGTCACCGTAAAACATTTCATGATTATCGTCAGTTTCGAAAAATATTCGTGAAAACGCTTTCAGATTGCCATAAGGACCTTTATTTTTATCGATTGTGCAAATATCCGTGAAGAGGAATGTCAAATAATGCTGAAATGATGTATTCAAAATCGGACTCAGTATATTTCAATGGGGAAAAAACCGGGATGTAAAAAATCTGTTTCCGGAATTGGAGCTCTTCAACAGAAGTGAGAATATTGTTGTCATTCTGAACTATCGCGTACACCTCTATTAAACCTTGAGATATGAAATAGTTCCCATGTTCAATTAATCCATCACCATGACAACTGTTTAACTAGTGACCTTGCAAGTGTTAATCCATGGGTACCTCAATGGTAGGTGTGGAACATTCACATAATCTTATATAATTAATCCATGGGTACCTCAATGGTAGGTGTGGAACATTCACATAATCTTATATAATCTATCCATTGGTACCTCAATGGTATGTGTGGAACATTCACATAATCTTATATAATTAATCCATGGGTTCCTCAATGGTAGGTGTGGAACATTCACATAATCTTATATAATTTATCCATGGGTACCTCAATGGTAGGTGTGGAACATTCACATAATCTTATATAATTAATCCATGGGTACCTCAATGGTAGGTGTGGAACATTCACATAATCTTATATAATTAATCCATGGGTACCTCAATGGTAGGTGTGGAACATTCACATAATCTTATATAATTTATCCATGGGTACCTCAATGGTAGGTGTGGAACATTCACATAATCTTATATAATTAATCCATGGGTACCTCAATGGTAGGTGTGGAACATTCACATAATCTTATATAATTTATCCATGGGTACCTCAATGGTAGGTGTGGAACATTCACATAATCTTATATAATTAATCCATGGGTACCTCAATGGTAGGTGTGGAACATTCACATAATCTTATATAATCTATCCATTGGTACCTCAATGGTATGTGTGGAACATTCACATAATCTTATATAATTAATCCATGGGTTCCTCAATGGTAGGTGTGGAACATTCACATAATCTTATATAATTTATCCATGGGTACCTCAATGGTAGGTGTGGAACATTCACATAATCTTATATAATTAATCCATGGGTACCTCAATGGTAGGTGTGGAACATTCACATAATCTTATATAATTAATCCATGGGTACCTCAATGGTAGGTGTGGAACATTCACATAATCTTATATAATTTATCCATGGGTACCTCAATGGTAGGTGTGGAACATTCACATAATCTTATATAATTAATCCATGGGTACCTCAATGGTAGGTGTGGAACATTCACATAATCTTATATAATTTATCCATGGGTACCTCAATGGTAGGTGTGGAACATTCACATAATCTTATATAATTTATCCATGGGTACCTCAATGGTAGGTGTGGAACATTCACATAATCTTATATAATTAATCCATGGGTACCTCAATGGTAGGTGTGGAACATTCACATAATCTTATATAATTAATCCATGGGTACCTCAATGGTAGGTGTGGAACATTCACATAATCTTATATAATTTATCCATGGGTACCTCAATGGTAGGTGTGGAACATTCACATAATCTTATATAATTAATCCATGGGTACCTCAATGGTAGGTGTGGAACATTCACATAATCTTATATAATTAATCCATGGGTACCTCAATGGTAGGTGTGGAACATTCACATAATCTTATATAATTAATCCATGGGTATCTCAATGGTAGGTGTGGAACATTCACTTAATCTTATATAATTTATCCATGGGTACCTCAATGGTAGGTGTGGAACATTCACATAATCTTATATAATTAATCCATGGGTACCTCAATGGTAGGTGTGGAACATTCACATAATCTTATATAATTTATCCATGGGTACCTCAATGGTAGGTGTGGAACATTCACATAATCTTATATAATTTATCCATGGGTACCTCAATGGTAGGTGTGGAACATTCACATAATCTTATATAATTTATCCATGGGTACCTCAATGGTAGGTGTGGAACATTCACATAATCTTATATAATTAATCCATGGGTACCTCAATGGTAGGTGTGGAACATTCACATAATCTTATATAATTTATCCATGGGTACCTCAATGGTAGGTGTGGAACATTCACATAATCTTATATAATTTATCCATGGGTACCTCAATGGTAGGTGTGGAACATTCACATAATCTTATATAATTTATCCATGGGTACCTCAATGGTAGGTGTGGAACATTCACATAATCTTATATAATTTATCCATGGGTACCTCAATGGTAGGTGTGGAACATTCACATAATCTTATATAATTTATCCGTGGGGTAACGCTAAACCGATAAAGAATATATTGACTTACTCTCTCTGTTCTTTTTCACGCCCCATCGCTAACTTCAGTTCCTGTAGTCGGAGTTCCATCTGTTTTGTCTCGCTTCCAAGTTTAGTAGTTGTCTGTTTTGCATTCCGTAGATTTTTGTAATCATTCCTGAAATAATGTTAAATTGATTCATGGTATAATTTATGGCCGAAGTATGACATATATTGGCTTTAATGAAATTTAATATTCATACATATCCCTAGGCCTATCCCATGACTAGTAAATCTAGTTATTGTGACATCACATTTCATGTTTAGGTTATACATGTATAATATATCCTGTTAGGATATACTTTAATATATCATGTTAAAATATACATGTATAATATATATTACAAACATTGTGGTAAAAATATGAATTTCATAAAATGAGCAAAAAACTTAGGAGTACATTTCAGGCTATAAAATATGTTTTTTTTGGATAAGAAGGATACATAAAGAATATTTGTATTTCCCTGGCCACAGTTTACACATGAGACAGATGTTATTTTATCCCCCCCTCTTTAAATACATTTACTCCATTATAGGATTGACTTACATGGCTTTAAGCTTGATGGAGACATCTTCCTTGTTGGTTGACCCTGTAAACCCAGACATATCTCAACACCTACAAGAATGTATAAAAAGAATAATGATTAACCCTAGGAAGGGTATGATGACTGTAGAATGTGTAAAATTCGAACATGTCTGTATTCATGCCTTTAAACTGTAAACAACATCAACATTTCACCCGGGGTATATTTGCGAAGAATACCCCTGGTAATATGTGTGTGTGACATCATAATGGTGGGTCTTAGTATTTATTTATTTATTTTATTAAAGTGTCACTTGTATCATATCATACAACCAGCCCTATCTGGGCTTATGAGACACATTTGAACATTTTAAAATAACTAGTTATTGTTTAAAAATAAAGTCTTTCCTGATCTGCATTATGTCAATTAAATACTGACCAAACATTTTAGTGTATCTTTTACTCTTACTTTAGTAATGGCGGACCATAATGAATATTCAAAACATTTTGGTGCGTTTTCATGTTCAAATCATAATGAGGACCTCTGAGCAGGGGTAATATCATCGAATCAACCCCGCAGGGCTAGGCAAAAACATTTTCTGTACCCCAAACGACCGAAGGGAGTGAGGGGTTCGAAAGCTTTTGTGCCTAGCCCTAAGGGGTGTATTCAACCATATTACCCCTGCTCTTCAGTCTATACTTCTTAAATATAGTAAAAGATCCTCATTGTTGTATGAATTCACTCATTGTTTCAATCAACAATATGCACTTAAAAGTGACATACAGAGTATAAAATGAAATATCATCAAATATATACTTCAAACAGTACATGATTGTCATAAGTATAATCAATCCAAAAATGAAACAAGATAAGAATTGTAGAAAAGGAAAATCCAAGAATGACTAAAAGGGTCAATTTGCTTGATATATTCTTGGTTGCGAAACATGTCAATACGATTTGAAACATCTTTGAAAGATCAAAAGTGTAACAGTTGTTCACATTTCAAGGTTGGAATATGTGAATCATTGAAAGAAAACAAAAGTGTAGCAGTTATTCACATTTCAAGGTTGGAATATGTGAATCATTGAAAGATAACAAAAGTGTAGCAGTTGTTCACATTTCAAGGTTCGAATATGTGAATCATTGAAAGATAACAAAAGTGTAGCAGTTGTTCACATTTCAAGGTTTGAATATGTGAATCATTGAAAGATAACAAAAGTGTAGCAGTTATTCACATTTCAAGGTTTGAATATGTGAATCATTGAAAGATATCAAAAGTGTAGCAGTTGTTCACATTTCAAGGTTGGAATATGTGAATCATTGAAAGATAACAAAAGTGTAGCAGTTGTTCACATTTCAAGGTTGGAATATGTGAATCATTGAAAAATAACAAAAGTGTAGCAGTTGTTCACATTTCAAGGTTTGAATATGTGAATCATTGAAAGATAACAAAAGTGTAGCAGTTATTCACATTTCAAGGTTCGAATATGTGAATCATTGAAAGATATCAAAAGTGTAGCAGTTGTTCACATTTCAAGGTTTGAATATGTGAATCATTGAAAGATAACAAAAGTGTAGCAGTTGTTCACATTTCAAGGTTCGAATATGTGAATCATTGAAAGATAACAAAAGTGTAGCAGTTGTTCACATTTCAAGGTTTGAATATTTGAATCATTGAAAGATAACAAAAGTGTAGCAGTTATTCACATTTCAAGGTTCGAATATGTGAATCATTGAAAGATATCAAAAGTGTAGCAGTTATTCACATTTCAAGGTTCGAATATGTGAATCATTGAAAGATAACAAAAGTGTAGCAGTTGTTCACATTTCAAGGTTGGAATATGTGAATCATTGAAAGATAACAAAAGTGTAGCAGTTCACATTTCAAGGTTCGAATATGTGAATCATTGAAAGATAACAAAACTGGGGCTGAGAAAAAGTGTTTACATTGAGAAATGTTCAGATAAGAGAGGTGTTTGAATATGTAGGTTTTACTATATGACTGCATACTTCTGCATTCAATCACAGTTATCAATTCCTTAAATAAGATTATATGCATGTTCCACATTTTCTCTACATTTATAGCTTTTACATTCTGAATAAGATTTTCAGAGTGACCCTTTTCAACATGTCATATTGATGATTTCCATAATATTTAATTATGAGATTAAGCATATGATGTCGACGTGAAAATTTACATGAAGCAAAATAGTATCTCAGATGATAGTTGAAGTTATTTAAACTGAAACGTTTTGTATCTCAGAGGATAACAGAAGTTATTTTAATTAAACTCTTCCAATGATCGCTATGATTTCCATAAGAAATATTTTGACTTCTTTGCTTTAATTCAGTGTATTTAAGCATTATTTAATTCTTAAGCCATTGACTCAAAGATTTACATGCACTTCTGGATTTGGTGAAATAAAGATGAGATGAAAAGTGAATATATAACACTTCGATACATACAGGTATTTGCAGGGCTCTCACCAAGAAATATTTAGGGTGTGGTAGAAACATCTAAATCGTATGTTTGTTATATTCTATCCTTTTTACATGTATTAAGTCAAGTTTAGAATGTGGGAACAATCACGATTTACTAATAGGTTGTGTTACAAGCTAAACAGACTGTGGGGCTGTGCCACAGTCTAAAAGGGTATTGGGTACTGTATTTGAAAACTTGGTACCCTATCTGCAGATCTGTTGCAAGACTTATGCCTGGCACAACCGTCACCATGTTATCAATTGTTTTTAAGTTTCACAAGAATCTTGCCATGGCCATGGTAGTGTTATCGCGAAAGCCTGCATAACCTTGACAATGCTATATTATATTGCAAGCCCTGTCATGACCGTGGTAATGTTTAAGCTTGATATGACCGTCACAGTGGCTATAAGGACTGTCATGACACAGTGGTAAAGTACAATATGGTCGCAATGGTTATATTAAATAGCATTTAGAAGCATGAGAATACTGAAAATTTCATAGAATGATTAACTGTATACCTTAAATATGTAAATCTAGACTCACATATGTTGATGCATAACATTTTAGATTCATTTAACTCATAATTCATTTCCGAAAACTATAATTCTAATCTCATTCAAGAACATGAACATTGTCCCGGTCATATCAGGCCTTATTTATAATATAGCATTGTCACAGTCATATCAGGCTTTAACATTACCACAGTCATGACAAGCCTTGCAATACAACATGACATTGTCAAGGTTATACCAGGCTTTCACGATAACACTATCACAGTCATGGCAGGATTAAAACACAACTTAAAAACACTTAATAACATGGTGACAGTTGTGCCAGGCATAAGTCTTGCAACAGATAGGGTCTCGAAAAACCCTAGATTTGGGTCCCTTTTTAGAGAACCCCCCCAGGATGTCACCAGTGGGAAAATTTTCTAAATATTTCTGTTGACATCATTGTTGGCCCAGTTTAGAAAAGAGTTTTTTCTCGCTGATTGACAGAGAAAATATCAGCACAGTTGGATTGAATTGTGGAAAGCTACCAGTAGATTTACCAGTGCTTAGGCTGGTCTAAATTTTTAATTGCCCATCAATACAAATATTTCGTTCCAATGAGCGAACCTTTCACAACACTGAAATAATATTAAATTTCAAAATCAACTGGCTATCTATTGGTATTTCCCAGAATATTCTTGATATCTGGAATAAAACAACCAGATTGATGTTTGTGACATGAGTCTCAAAATAGATCTAAAGTGGGGGACCAAAATAAATCTCAACCCTCAAAAGTTGTTACAATGAGATAAATTCTAAGTTTCGTGTCTCAAACTCCCTCAAGTGGTAGAAAAATAATTCCCATTCACTTTAAGTAGCACAATAAATGAATCCAAAGCTTCATACCTGCAAATGATGGATAAATCCCTACCAAATCGAACAAATGTTTTCATGAATCGCCATTTTTGTGATCCAAGGAGGATTGACTCCCAGAATGCAACATCTGGTAACCTTATTTACTCGTGACAGATTTCAAAATGGCGGAACGGGAGCCAATCCACATTGCGGCACAATTGGGCTCCAAAATCACCTCAACATTTGAAGAGTCGCCATTAACACGTGAATTCTTATCTCATCCTACGACCACTTTAGATTGTGGTCGTACGTGCGTATAATTGGTCAGTCAATGTTTTTACAAAAGTGGAGAAAATACTACACATTGCACACCTAAATGACCTACCTCGATACATTCCTTAGTATTTTGGAATTCTTTTTATGTTGTTAGATCGCCAATTGTATGGGTTTATCGGCAGAAGGAAGAGATTTAAGTTTTTACATCGGAAATATACCAGCAATTTTCAAAATGTCGGAAGGGGAATTCCCCAGGGATTTCCCTTATGACTGGTGCATGCCGGGAACTGAATGGAGGAATTTGACGGTTGAAATAAGTTAAATATTACACGCAAATATTGGTATCAAAAACGAAAACCTCTTCGTTCTGCCGATAAACCCATACAATTGGCAATTCAACTACATAAAAAGAATTCTAAAATACTAAGGAATGTATCGAGGTAGGTCATTTAGGTGTGCAATGCGTAGTATTTTCTCCAACTTTGTAAAAACATTGACTGACCAATTATACGCGCATACGACCACAATCTAAAGTGGTCGTAGAATTCGATAAGTGAATTCCACTTCAAATTTTTAAGTTCTTATTTGTCATTATTAGCCTTTCCCAATGGCCATGATGATATCATGGCCATTACTAATACCTATATTTATAATGACGCAGCAGCAAACTGCAATATAAACTATGCACCTACCCTATCTTTAAATGCTCCGAAATCACTCTGCAACGTTTTTAGTGAAGTAATTTGGTATTTCATGAGTAATTAGGAGATTTTTGTCAAAAATTTGGAACTAATTTTGAAAATTAAATCCTCTTTATGCGCATGCGCGGGGTGCGCTTGTCAAACTTATCGCGTGTTTAACTAATCGAAATCATTATTTCAATACTAGTTTAATAACATAAACGGACAATTACATGAATATAGCCTATATAAATTATATGAATATATGAAAAGAATATGACATCTCGCTACACGTTTAGTAGCTTTAGCGAAATCTTATTATAATTATTTCGTTTCTTGGTGTTCATATAGATTTGCAGAAGGACCAGACGAACTAGAATTTCTAAGTTGAAATTGCTTCGACATTATACTTATAGAACGAAGGATTTACGATATTAAGAACTCAAGAATTACAATTTCAACTGTATAAATGAGACAGGAAAGAAGTGGGCTGGTCAAATAAAGGGTAGGTCTCCATGGGGTTATTTTATTATAGGACAACTATAATATCTGTTCATATGCTTGTGTTCCAGACTTAGACCTGAGTCAGTCTTGAAGTTCAATTTGAATTTCAAATCAAAAATCTGTTTTGGAATATTTGCAATTTCTAACGCATTTGATGCTGCAAATTTTGATTTCTCACATAAATATAATAACGAATATAAAACATACCTTTTCTCAACCACAACACTACTTCATATGTGATATATGTAATGCAAAATCAATCAAATAGTTCAAGTTTTGTTGCTCGGAGAATCTAAACAAATATTCAATATGGCGTCGGAGTTCCCGTTATAAATCTCGCTCGATCTCTAGAGATTTATCGATATTTCCCGCCAAATTCAAATTGACACGCGAAATATTTATGGTAAAGCATGAGATAGTTTAGGTGCATCCATGCACGCTCTGGGTCTCTGAGGATCGTGTTGGCCCTTACGACAATCCAACGCATTAGAGGCGGTGTTCACCGTCTAGAGATAGTTTGGAGTATAATACTTTCGACTATTTGTTGATTACTTTGGTGAATGATAACCGAAACACGACAGTTACTTTTTCAAACCTCGAAATGGACCTGAAATTTGAGAATGGGTGAAAACACCGGGATGCAAACACACTTACTAGCTGAGGCCCAGGAATCGGGCCAGGAATACGTTAAAAATGTTTAAAAAGTCCCCTAGTGTACTGAGTTTGTAATGCGTGGTGTATACGTGTATTTTTTATTAATGATTGTATACCCGGGCCTCAGCTTCCAGCCCCCCCCCCCCCCCTAATCCGCCAGTGTGTTTAGTGTATTTTTGAAACATGGCGTAGAATAATGGAAATAACGGCACAACGCATGCGCGTAAATCGACATTTCATGGTCCAAAGATTTCAATGGAGAGCAGTCTTCATCAAAATTTAAAATTTTAATAACTTTTTAGCAAATAATTTATTTTCTTAGGATTCAACGGATCCTTGTTAGACCCAACGAAGTGTTCATTTTGATATATAAAACAGCAAAATCCATCCACAGATCTTTCGGCCTTTTAATGATTTAATTTTCGGGATATTTTGCTAAAATACCCCATTGGCCGCCATTGTAGACCTTGAAAAAACCCAAATCCTCATCATTTCATATCATTCGTTAAGTGATCTAAACAACTCCAATCGCTTAGGATTCAACGGATTCTAAGAGATCAAAGCTAATACAATATATTGACAACCCCCGTTCCAATATTTGCCGCATAATCTTTCGGCCTTTTAGGTTATAAATTTGTCAATATTTTGATTTTCGACCGTTAATGACGTACTTGGATCCAAGATTCATTGTCCCGGGACGCTATTTCCATTATTCTACGCCATGGTACCTTTTACTGTTATTAACATCTAACATTGAGTCATCCCGGATAAACCATTCATGAATAAGGAACAGACAAATAAAAACAAAATAACATAATCATTATTATTATAATATATATAGGCTTACCTCATATCATATGTATTCTAGATGCTCATTGGCTTATTCATGTTCACATGATATGAAATAGATGAACTAATTCCCTGGAAAGTCCTTAATCCCTTGTATCAGGGCAGATGAAATGTACCAATCACCAGTTAAGTCATGTGACCAGTCATTAGTACGTTTTATCTCCCACGATAGGTGGGATTATAGGAGTTGAAAGCCAAAACCTTTAAATGCCAATAAGAACCAGTAAACACTAAATGTTGAAATGAAGACTTCTCATTTGTTTTTGTTTACAGAGTGCATATGGATTATATAATAAAACAAATAGTGACTGCCACATTTTCGGGAAATATATAGTGTAAACATTTTCCCCTCGGGAATATCCTGTCCACTGACATGTTCCCTCGGCCTACAGCCTTGAACTGGTCCCCTGGGCATCAACATGGCAAATGAAATTCCATCCATCAAAATCCTATGTGCTGAATATTCACAAAGGTAAATCCCCTATCATTCACATTTACACCATGCTAGGGGAAAACCTTAAGTCGGTAACACAGTGACACATCCCATACCTAGGTATTGACAACACAAATAACTTATGCCTAGGTCACATAGCCGCCGGGCGCCGGCCGATGAGTAGTCATCGGCCGATTTATAAATCGACCGGGCGCCGGTGACTTTTCACCGATGTCTTGATCTAATCGTTAGTATGGTCACATTAGTACAGGCATCGTACGGCGCCCGCAATCAATTGAATCTGAAAGACATCGCACGGGTATCGCAAGGCTATCGGCCGATGGCCGTACGGCACCCGCCAGGACATCGGTCGATCTACAGGCCTCTAGATTTATACTAAATTCTTGTATGACCCAGTTTGACTGTTCCACATGGCATGAATGCAAGATTTGAAAACGAAATACTTCGATAGACAGGACTTCCAGGATAATAATGTTTTCATGCAATAAAAATCAGAAAAAGAAGATCCTCTAAATAGGTTCTATATTTAGAAAAAAATGCTGACATGGGGTCCCTATTCATAATTTTTCAAATTGTTTGATTGATATTTTTTACTATCATGGATACTTCAATTAAAAGAAAACATTGTTTTAATAAAAACACTGTATTTATGCCCAGAAAGTACTCATGGTGAAAGATATGACCGTATAAAATCACCTTCCATACTGCACGTTGTCTTTTCATCAAAGTGCACCCTGACCTTAATTCATTTTTAGATCTTTCATATAACATGTATAAACAAATATTATGTCTACCTGTCCATCCGATGCTATTAGCAAAATTCCCTATTTCTGCATCTTTCTTTTGTCTGTTCTCGTAAATTTGTTTGGTCATAAAAATATGGCCTATCATCAAAAAATTGGCAATTTTTTCTTTTATTTCAAATGGAAAACCCTCTTCCCTAGACACATCTAAATCTTCATCATCCACCAGATCACTAGCATTGTTATTGTCTTTTTCCACCTGTCTTCCCAAGGCCTTCCTCATATATGGTCCATTGGCCTTATCCCCTCTATCCTTAGCCTTTGGCATATTAACTGTAATTGAGACAGTAAACTTTCGTATTAAAATTGTGACCCTTGAAAATACTGTACTCACAAAAACATTCAGAAGATTTTTAAAATAAATGATTTGTAATATGCATGAGTGAATATACGCATAAAAATGTATCACTCTATCCAATTTGTATGACAGACATACACGATTAATGTCAATATAAGAACGACTAGATCAACCTACCCACCCACCCAGCCATTCAAATGTGTGTCATTGTTTTACAGTAAGTCTAATCGTTCCATTTATGTTTTATAAAAAATCTCTGACAGTGTGTAGTAATTATAATTCCTTACCTCATTATTTCTTAAACCGTTATATCACTTTATAAGTAATCATTATTAAGATTTATCAACAAATCAGCACGCAAAATCCCAAGATGACCGTGCGATGGCACCGGGCGCCGTAAGATAATCGTACGATGACCGGACGGGACACGGCCGGGTAGGTACCGATGAGTTTGGTTGAGAAAAAATCGCCAAGACATCGGCAACTTTTATCTCCGCAATAAAACTCTGCCGGCGCCCGTACGATGTTTAAAAATCGGCCGATGAGTGGCGATCATCGCCCGGCGCCCGTACGATGCCCGGGCTCGCCGGCCGATTTTGAACAAAATACTCATCGGCCGGGCGCCGTAGTGAAAATCGGAGCCTATGTGACCAAGGCATTACGCTGGACTACACATATTCAAACTATTGTATCCAAAGCCAATAAGGTGCTTGGATTCCTCAGGCGCAACCTCCATCAATGCCCTGAAAAAGTGAAGGCTCGGGCGTATAAGTCACTAGTCCGGCCTAATTCAGAGTATGCCAGCTCGGCATGGGATCCATACCAACATCATCCTTGTATCATCCTTCTAAGTTCATACAACCATCAACTAGAACAGATGCATACTTTAGCTATTTCCTTAGGACAATAGCTAAATGGAACACTCTACCTGGTGACATCTGACTGTGACAGTCTAAGTAGTTTTAAATCATCATACTATGCCTATGTCAATAACTGCAATTAAATAGGTGTGTTTTTAATATAGATCTATGTTTTAATGTAAAAGGTCCCCAGTGCACAGCAAAAAGCCTGCATTACTGGTAAAGAGGGGTGATGTCAACGCGGTAGTCGCCCCAGGGTATTTCAACATAAAGGGTCTTCCTAGGGGGGTACAGGGGCCAACCAGGAAGGTTCCTTTCAATTTTAAAATGAGTTGTAAACCATAGATCTATTTTAAATGTTAAGGTTTTAAATTATATTCTATTCAAATTCTATCACTGTTAAATTATATATCTGCTTTATATGGGCTTATTAGCCTTTTGCAGATTATTGACATAGACATAGACAGTGGACAGAATACTCCATTGGGAAAAATATTTTGCACTGTTTCCCTCAATGGCAATCACTATTTGTATACTAATACGGCCAAATGGGTTGCTCATGAACACCAAATGCAATATATAGTACAGTGAACAATGCTACAAACACGATCAAGGTAGGCCTATGAATGGAAGTGGTTTTCAATTCTTAATTCATTCCTGAAAGAACGAAGAAATAAGTATGGAAATGATTATTTGAAATGACCACTAGCCAAAAGTTGCGTTTGCGAATACAAGGGGGTTATATACCTAATTATTCAATTACCTTATCAGAAAAATAAGGTCAACATAGGTCAACGTGACCTAGGTGTTGAAAATGATTGCATTTTGAAATATATTGTTAATTTTCTATCAAAATTTATTATTACTTATCCCTTTCAAAGATAGCAGGTATCTCGAAAGCCCTGCATTGAAATCAATGAAATGTATTATGTATATGCCTTATTGAATAATCAGCAATTTCAAGCTCAACTGTTTTTTCCTTAACATTGAAGATGTTCACTCCCCTCCATAAGTTTGGCAACCTAAGCTCCCCCATTGAACTACGTGTTTAAGCCTCTTTACCTTTGAATTTTTATTTACTTACATGTAACCTGCGATGAAAATACTTATACTATTGATGGAAACGTAATTTGACTTTATTTCAATTTTTTCCTCAATTACAATAAGTCGAAGATTGATGATAAATTTTATGAATTTTTGAAAATCGACATTCCCATGTTAACCAATGGGAAATGGTGGGTTTGCCACAAGTCATATGACAGAATATATCCATCCATTCGAGTACTTGCAAAAATACGAGTTGGACAGGCAATTGAACTTACTAACTTTATTTAACAAAAGTCTATATGTTTCTTCAGGTTCAACAAAATAATTAGGGCTTTAAAATCAAAATTGTTTTTCAA